ATTAATGTCACTGACAATCCAAATTGTACTTTTTGCCAAGAAGAAGTAGAAACTATTAAAATTGAGAATGAAAATGGGGAATGTGTCAAAGAGACAACAACCCGACCATAGAGCAGACAACAGCCGAAGGCCACCAATGGGTATTCAATGCAGCGAGAAACTCCCGCACCCGGAGGCGTCCTTCAGCTGGCCCCTAAACAAATATGTATACTAGTTCAGTGATAATGGACGTCATACTAAACTCCAAATTATACACAAGAAACTAAAATTAAAAATGATACAAGACTAACAAAGGCCAGAGGCTCCTGACTTGGGACAGGCGCAAAAATGCGGCGGGGTTAAACATGTTTTTTGAGATCTCAACCCTCCCCCTATACCTCTAGCCAATGTAGAAAAAACAAACGTACAACAGTACGCACAGTAAAACTCAGTTTAAGAGAAGTCCGAGTCCGATGTCAGAATAGGAAACACAAGAAAATAAACAAAATGACAATAATACATAAATAACAACAGACTACTAGCAGTTACTGACATGCCAGCTCCAGACCTCAATTAAACTGATTGAAACATTATGTCTTCATCATATGAATATCAGGCACAATCCCTCCTGTTAGTGGTTTAGTATTATACCATCATAAAATATATGAGAAGAACATAACCCGTGTCATGCCAACAACTGGTTTTAGAATGAATATGTTTAATTCCGATGCAAAGACCCTATAAGTGAATCAATATTAAAGCCAAAATATGCAATCTTTAATGACCTGACAACAGTATCGTAACTATATCCCTTCTAAATAAGTCTGTTTAAAGGTTTTGTTAGCTTTTGAGGTGAATACTGACATTTTTGTGCTTGATAAAGAATATTACCATAAAAGATTGGATGTGAAATACCCGAACGTATAAGATGTCTGCATGTTGAGTTATATTTACGAATGATGTCCTTATACCGATGATAAAATTTAGTAAATGTTTTGACTAGTTTATGATATCGAAAACCCTGGTGTAATAATTTTTCAGTAATACATACATTTCTCTCGCTAAAATTTAATACGTTGTTACATACACGAGCGAATCGGACAAGTTGGGATAAATAAACACCATAAGATGGTGACAAGGGAACGTCACCATCTAAAAATGGATAATTAACGATAGGAAATGAAAAATCATCTCTTTTATCATAAATTTTTGTATTTAGCTTCCCGTTAATGATATAGATATCAAGATCGAGGAAAGGACAGTGGTCATTGTTAGTATTAGCTTTATTTAAAGTAAGTTCAACTGGATAAATTTCTTTAGTATACATACTGAAGTCGTCATTATTGAGAGCCAATATATCATCCAAATATCTAAAAGTATTGTTAAATTTTTGTATCAGATGTTGTTTTGATGGGTCTTTGCTGATTTTAGTCATAAATTGTAACTCATAACAATACAAAAACAGGTCCGCAATAAGTGGTGAACAGTTAGTTCCCATTGGAATTCCGATAACTTGACGATATACGGAATCTCCAAAGCGAACAAAAATGTTATCAAGTAAAAATTCAAGAGCAGATATAGTATCAAAGCATGTCCAATTGACATAGCTCTTTTGTTTGTTGCTACTAAACAATGACCTAAAAGAGTTTGAACATATGTATTCGCATTACGACTTTTTAAATGCCCATTTAATTAGGTGTGTGAATTTTTCCTTAATAAGAATATGAGGCAAAGTGGTATATAGGGTAGAAAAATCAAAACTTTGAACAGATTCAAAATCACCAATATATGCATGCAATTCATCAAGTACTTCCAACGAGTTTTTGACACTCCAAAAGTAGTTAATTCCACTATTTTCAAAGGCCTTATTTGAACAATTTATTATCAGGTTTTTGATTGTACCAAGTGTACAAGTAAGTAGAATAGACAATTTAGTAGTGGAACAATGACTTGAAGACGCAATAAATCTATATTTGTAAGGTGATTTGTGTAGCTTCGGAAGCCAGTACATAGTTGGGACTTTCATTGTATTTGGTTCTGCTTGTAAAGAAGTAGCTAATAGTTTATTTTGTTACAGATATCGTTTTCTGAAAATGAAGTCAGTTGGAATGTTGGTGAATTGGTGATTTCCTTTTGCAGAACCTCAATGTAAAATTTACGTCAAACTATAATGATATTATTAGCAGCTTTATCAGCCGGGACAAAAACAAATTCCTTGACTAGTTCTTTTAGTTTATGTTTGATACGAGAAATAGGATTTTTATGGTTGTTGTTAAGAGTGAAATGTTCTTTAAAATGTAGTATACGTATATCAACTATCTTCATTACTGAATTAAAAAAAGAGTCCAAAGATTTTTTGTCAGCTTTTGGAATTGTGAGATTGTTCAAACATTCATTAATGAAATTGACTCTTGGTTTTTGTCTAATGGTATAAGTGTTCCATTTACCATTAAAAAAAAATCTGTTTGGGGATATTACAAAATCATTTAGGGGGAATGCTCAAAATTTTATTTATTTGCAAATAAAACAATATATATTTTCAACTGCAAAAATTTTAAGAAAGCGTTAACATTGCAGGCAGTGCAAAGTAAAATACAGCACTGAAAAATTAATTGCTGTTAAAGATAAAAGAGAAGATATTTTAGACAAAAGTTGGAATGCTTTTGCCATTCTTTTCAGTAAATGATCAGTTATTTTTTACAATGTATATGTGTACATAAATTAGTACAAATAGAATTGTCATATACTATATTGGCTCTTATATACTACATAGTTCATCTGTGCAATAAATAACCAAAACAACCAAAACAACTTTTAATTGTGCATTTGTTATATAAGATAATTATATGTTTGATAATCTTAATGGTAAGCTTCTTTTTGATATTACTGACATGGTATATAATTTTTAAGTATGGAAAATTGTATGTATATTACTAGCAAATACTAACAGCTGTATAAATATGTTATTTACTAATGTTAACGAGGCCGGGATAAGGTAGGGGTACTAGATGTTTTATAAATAACAAATGTACAGTTTTCATTAAATATGATAAATTAAAACAAAAAAAACAACAACAAAAAAACGATGGATACAATAAAGTTAGTAACACAATTTTAACTATTTAGTGAGAGGACATTATCTATTCACAGAGAAAAAATGTAATGAATGATGATATCTTCTTTTCATTCTTCCAGTAATTAGACCTGTATTTTCTTATGGTAGAGCCAAAGTCACATCTTCTAACGAACTATAGAGTTTTAATTATTTAGTTTTTTGGTTGGATACCTGTGTCACATACATGTATGACAACGGACGTTTTTCCATTTGTCTAAATTCATCATTTTTTATTGTTTCAGTTAAGATATCATCAAATGAAATATATCAAGAATTACGTGTTCACCGTCATAAACATACTAATTAGTGTTGCATAGTGTCTTTCTTACCATATGTATATTTTATAATTTACGTTACAATTTTTTATTCCCTCAAATTTATTCTCTATTTTTAACCATTGTTCTATTGAAAGGGTTTGCGTTGCAAGTTCCTTAGATTGATGTGTTGTTGATTTGTAAGTGTTTGTTTCTTTTTATTTATGTCGTTCCTGTTTATATATCGATTTTAATTATCCTTTGTCTGGAATAAGTGTTACTAATTAAATATGAAACATTTGGTCGTGAAAAAGGGAAGGATTTGTTAAATACGTACCGATGATTTATTAGTAGAGAAGAAAAAGCGATCAGTTTTTAAATGATATCATATCACATGTAATGGCGCAAAACTGATTTAATTGGTTTCATACGAAGAATGTCACTAGTCATGTACTATATTCATTATCAATTTCCTAAGAAATAAATCATATGTAAGATTTGTATTTACAAACAATTGATGTAAATGAAATGTTTTTTTGATAAATAATTTAATGCCTGTATTTGACAATACTGTATGATGCTAAATCCTTGTATTTCGAAAATCATTGAAAGTCCTTAAAATTGTTTTTTATGTTGCCTTTTAATTTGAGAACTTTTTTAAAAGCTATTCGATCAATTGTTTTTTACATATCTGATTGGCCATGCTACTTATATGCAATAAACATGATAAACATTTTTTTTCAGATTGGTTATATCAAATACGTTATGCAAAACCCCTTACTACTTCAAGCTTAGATAATAATTTTATAAAGTTTGAATCGGGAATTCCTGGTTAAGAAATCAATTTTCGAAAAAAATGTAGATCTAAAGTTACCAATTAAAGCATTTTATAATAAATAATTTAATGATTAACCTAAAGCTCTTATGACATTAACGACTAAACGCGTCTGCAATGGTAACCACATTAGTACTCTTGGCTTCCTAATCTATATAACATATATCTTTAGAGTTTGATGTTTTTTTCAACGTCTGAATCTATGGCTGTAACACGATGTATTACGTATAGTATGTTTATTTGTTTTGTTCACAAATCGTTGTCATTATAATGGAATTTTATGCGGCTGTCATACAAGTGAGAGGTTTAGCTATTAATAAACTCATCATAGATACCAGGATTAAATTTTTATATTTGCACCAGACGCGCGTTTCGTCTACAAAAGACTCATCAGTTACGCTCGAATCTAAAAAGTTTAAAAGGCCAAATAAAGTACGAAGTTGAAGAGCATTGAGGACCAAAAATTCCTAAATGTTTTGCCAAATATAGCTAAGGTAATCGTTTCCTGAAGTAGAAAAGCCTTAGTATTTCAAAAATTCAAAGTTTTGTAAACAGTTAATTTATAAACCAGGTTTTAATCCACCATGTTCTACATAAGAAAATTCCTGTACCAAGTAAGGAATATGACAGCTGTTTTCCATTCGTTTGATGAGTTTGAGCTTTTGATTTTGCCATTTGATTGGGGACTTTCCGTTTTGAATTTTCCTCGGAGTTCGGTATTTTATTGTTATTTTACTGTTTTTTTGTTTTTGTTTATAGTATCTTGTAAATGGCATGTATGCGCGGTTCATCATCATAAAGGCTAACAATATCTCACTTTTAAAATTGAGTTGATGCAGGCTGACCTTGTTCCGTGTTGCGCTTGAACTGTGCCTTTATCTGTAGCAATAAATTGATGCCTTTCATTTAATTAAATTCTGGAAACAAACCTGATTTGTAATTCGCTTTTATTAACATTATATCAACATGTTTGCCATTAAGGAATGTGATTAACTAGCGTCACTCGATTGAGTAGTTTGTAGCCTAAAATAGTACAATACGTACAAAACGAAATGTTTATGTTTTTTACAAATGAATATCAGGATTACTCTTTTGTCACTTTAGAACAGAAACGACATTGCTTATGATAGTGTGATATCAGAAAATTGTCAAAATTGAACGTGCGTGACACATATATATTAGGAATCTCATAAGAGTTTCTCGTTTTTAATATAGATTAGACCGTTGGTTTTCCCGTTTGAATTGATTTACACTTGTAATTTTTGGGGCCCTTTATAGCTTGCTGTGCGGTGTGAGTCAAGGAGAGTTGTCTCATTGGCACTCATACCACATCTTCTTATATCTAGTAAAATGAAATATTGAAAACAATCTCACAAAACGATATGTTCATATCATCTACGCTGTAGTTGATATTTTGTTGTAACAAGCATATACTTTTTTCAAAGCTATATGGCACGTTATTTTTTGCTGTTTTACTTATATTCAAGAAATTTAAAAGTGGAATAAAGTCCTGTGTAATATATATAATGACATTTCTCATAGGACAAATGTAGGATATCTCAAACTGTGCCATTTGGCCTTTTTACTTGTAGGGGACATTGGGGAAAAGTTCACATGTACAATTTTAGCAACGTCAAGTCATTAAGAGTTTCTTTGCAGATTTGTAAATATTCATATGCTTTGATCATTTAATTTCAATTAAAGCTCACAGTAAAAATTGATTATACCCGTTCGTTTTCTTTTAGTCCTCTTGTGAATTGATTTTGACCGCTAGCTCAACGACTTATATTTGTAAAATTTCCTATTGTGTTCTCTACACGATTAACTATAGGAGTCATATCTGGGAACCAGTAGTTTTAGAGAACCCGAAAGACTTATGAAAATTAATTATATCTCCAAAAAGGACGTAGTTTGTTTACAACTATATTTACTAATATCAAACTGAACGTCTAAAGCAAATGTTTCAGCAATCATTGGGCTTATAGATAATAGTTGCCTCTTCTTTCTATTTACTGTTTAGAACTGTATTAATTTGATGTTAAATCCAAAGACGTTTAGTGGTTTCTGAAGTTACTTTGATTTAAACATGTTATGGTTCTAAGAAGCTCAGGTATTGTAACCATCAATTATAGTTTAAGGTAACAGGTACGTAAATGGTTTGTCCAGAGATTTTTTTAAAGGAATTGTATACACGTAGAATTTTTGAAAATACAAAGAAAAATCGAAAATTCAAGTGGGTAACCGATATTTTTCTGGTGTAAGGGAGATAACTCTCATAACAAAGAACGCAAATTTTCCCGTTTTCCGTTAGAGGCGTTCATTTACGTACCTCTCACCTTAACATAGTCGTCATACAACGACTGCGTAATGAATATACACATCTACCCATCATAGTTTACCGAACAAGACTAATGTTGATATTTAGGGTAAAACAAAAACTGTTAGAAATTAGAACACAACATATGAAACTGAACTACGTCGTAAAAATAAATTTGAAACAATAGTCTACGTACACAAATAGCAAATAGTTAGGTAGTGAATCCCTTTTATGAGTGTTTGCTCAAACACGAAAATTACAAACCATAGATTTTATCTCTTTCATAGTTTTGTGGTTTATCTTCATATTTTCATGGTTTATCTTCATATTTTCTTTGATCATCTTCAACATCTTTATTTGAAATGAAATAACATTTTTATTATACATATGCAACAAAATATCTCTTTTAAAATACCCTGGGATTTTTGTATAAATAATTTTCATTAAATCACATTTGATTGTACTTGAAATGCTAGTGATTACCATTTGACGGACCGATGCATTATCTATGAGTGATCTAAAATATTGTTCGATGTCAAATGTTCAAATCACTGGATTGTGTGTGTCAAACGTGTTATGAGTGCGGCCACCGATTCATCCGTCCACCAATTGGACTGTCGCATATTTAATACGGTATGTAAAATGTCCGATTACGATTGTGTGTTTTTTTTTTCGAGTGAAGACCGAGTTTATTCCCCATTGTTCTAAAAAAATATAGATATATATCAAATTCATTTAATCTCTTAAACGACCGTAATCATCCGAATACAAGTATTTTTGTCAATGCAAGAATACCAAGGAAAAATTCTAAAACATCTAAAATAGAAAGCAAAAATTGAAAACAAAATAATGAAATAAAGGCATCGTAACAATTTTCGCTTTCGGCAGCATTAAGACATAACATAATGTCTCTTTTAAGGTTGAGAGAAAGAACAACATCCAACAATACATGATTCCTGTATTTCTCAAAAAAAATATACAAAGCTGCTACACTGATTTCTTGACAGCTGTTAAAGTATTAAGCAATACCATTAATATACATTTTAACATGAACAACATAATAATTTGTAAATCACTACCAAAAGAAGTTTCGTAGACGAGTTCTACTGATTTTAAATCAAGACTCAATGATATTAAAGTGGTCCTTACATTTTTTTTATAATAAGAAAATAAAACATATGACGTCTAACGGTTACCTCGTCACTTCTTTTATGTTGGTCCTTAAGCTCTCTGTTCAAAATGTCCATTTGATTTTGAAGTTTCTACGAGACATAAAAATTAGTAAATTGTTTGGTTACACAAATACTAAACTCTTTACATTATCAAGTGTTGTTAAGGTGTAATACCACCAAAATAGTACGTCACATCCGGTTGCATACGAAAAAGGGTCGAACAAAATATTCCTTTTAATTTGTTGTAGGAAATTAATCCTACATTTCATTGCATTAAAAAATTTCTGACGCATAAACATATATCTTGAGTGTTTCAAAGCACTATTATTTTTTTTTTGGTGGTTCTAAAGAATATTTTAGAAACTTTACATGGTTACTAAAGCTTGTACACATGGAAAATAGGAATGCAAATTTGATTGGTTAACTTCCAGTGGTGGTTATTTTCTTATATGCAATGAAATGTAATGTGAAATTTTGTCTATAGTACTGGACAGGATTAAAATTTACTCATACCAAGTATTTTTTTATTTGAAACAAATATAAATTCTGCACAATTTTTTGAAACGTGCAAATTTTAACAAAGACTAATAGGGGAAAATTAATGGTGGTATTAAACCTTAACAACTACCTGAGATGGTACAACTTAACAAAATAGGGTTCCTCGATATGTTAGTCTTTTATATAATTAGCTAAACCAGAAGATTCAGAGGATAATCTTCTATAATATATTTAAATAACGTGTTACAATATTCTTTGTAATAAGCTATCTTGGTGTAATTTCTGCAAATTACTATTCCTAATGTATAAATATCAGGTGAAACGAAGCTCTCATAAGAAAGACTGGACATATACCAAGAGGTATTTCCAAGAGAAGAAAAAAACGAGTTAAAAGATATAAAGGGGTCATTCGAATCTCATAAGTTGAAGATTATTGACAATGGCTTGACAAACAATGATACACAACGAGGAGACCAACAAGCACCAAAACACTACATAGGAAATTAAGGACTGAGCAACAAAAAAAAGACTCAAATCAGGTTCTTCGGTAGGGTAAGCAGTTTCCGCTACATATGTGCTTCCGTCGTGATGCTGATGCAAGTACACGCCCGATGATAAGAATCCTTCGATGATGTCATAATCGAGGAAAAGAGAAAAATGGGACGATATACCCGTCGCCATCTGTATATGTGCGAAAGATATTGCATGACGGCCAACCAACTAGACTAAGTGATGGCGTCGGTAAAATTTCAAAGGGATGATTTTATCTTTTATAACTTGAAATGCTTGGTTAAATAGCTTCATTGTTAGAAGATATCATGTATCAACGAAATTGTGATAGGTTCAATAACCATTTCATGTAATGCAAACTTATTGTGAGTACCTTTTACCATAACTTCGCAGTATTAAGGGACCATAACTGTCAAAAGAACTAACGACATGACACTTACATTTGTTTTGTTTCTTTTAAGTTTGTAATTATAAATGTTAAATATTATTTGTTGCCAACATTGACCTGAGATCATTATTTTATGTCATTTTTTTAATCAATATAGCGCTTCAACTGTTTCAGTCCTTTTACATATATTTTCAAATATTCGGATTTTGCGTTCCTGTTAAAGATAAATTTATAAAAATGCTTCAAAAGTATGAAATTTATTATATGTTGTTTCCTTTTTCAATTGCAAAATAACTTAAATAAACATTTGAATATCAAAAATAATATGTGACCTTTAATTAATTACCTTAGACATTAAATAACCAGCACTAAATGGAATGACAAATAATGAAATATTTATACATCCTTGTCAATTTATATTTAGATTAAAAGTTTAGCTATCAATTAAAATTTCTTTTATACTAATTTTTTTTTTTCAATATCTAACATGTCTTATGAATTTTTATTGTTACCTTGTCAATTCTTTTATCCTGGGGTCAGTATCATGAAAACCTATGTAAAGTTTTATATTAGAGAAAACTTACGAACGCTTTACGAGCACGTTATGATGGTGCTAAGAGCGTATCTCCAATCCCTTCGTAGGTTACTCTTCACAATTTTACGGCTATCTTAGTATACACTTACGAATGTGAGTTAAGGTAGCACTTTAACGACTCTTCCGAAGTGACCGCCTTTGATTTTTGAAGAAAATATTAGAATTCACAGGAAAATCATTAGTAAAAGTCATCTGTCTGTTAAATAGAACGATCGAAAAACATACTAAAATAAAATACTTGATTTTAGTAGTTTTTTCTAATTTTATGTTTAACTGTCACACCGCTGTCCGAGGTTAGGGGAGGGTTTGCGGCTTCAAGCATTTTAACCTCGCCACATTATAAATTTGCCTGTCTCAAACCTGTAATTGAATAGTTGTGGGGGTTTTTTTTTCTCCCCATATATATAGGTGTCGTTTGTTCATGTCCGTCAAATGTGTTTTTCATAAGTTGTTTTGTTATAAATTAGGCCGTTACTTTATTCAATTAAATTGTTTCATATTTTTCATTTCGGAGCTTTTATAGCCGACAATTCAGTATGAGTTTTTTCATTGTTGAAGGCCGTATTGCTTGTATCCATTTTATTTGAATTTTTGTAAATATTTGTCTTATTGCCATACATACACTATCTCCTTATTTTTTTTTATTGAAGGAATATTTATTGAATTAAAACAAAAATGATAGTTAGTAGTGCTCTAAACGGTTCCGAAGAAAACAAGGGACATGTTTTTTCCTTCTCCTTTTTTTGAACGGAGATATTCCTTTGGCACCGTATTGCTGTGTTTATATATCCCAACTCGTTCGGTATGCCCGTGTCTGACGTTTTGGATCTAATCGTAATCTATGTGTTATTAGTAAATTATTAAGTCATAGATTTAATTACCACAAACAGTTAAAGCCTTTTTTTTGTATTGGTATAAATATTAAATTTTGAATCAGTACATTAAAGCCATACTAAATATTTTTGTTATAGACATATCGCACTTTCACGGTACTAAAATCTGTCGATACCTACATTTTGGCATTGTACAAAGTCATGTTTTACTCTGACTGCTAAAACCGTCTTTACACTAAATCCATTGGATGTTGAATGTGGTGCGATTGATACTTTTGTCTTAGATGCATTTTTTTTTATAAGTTGTTAATGGCTTTGGCCTAGCTGCCAGTAACTGCGAGTACTCTCAGATCTGTACATTGTGTTGTTTTCGTTGTTTTAATTGTTATCGATGTATACATACTCTGCCACGTGCGGTTGCCTTTTTTGTTAGATGTATTTTTTTTCTGCTTTGTACCGATCTGACTAGTTTGTATTGATTTTTATAGTTTGTTCTTATGTTGCGTTGTAACTCCACTGTCCTAGGTTAGGGGATGATTGAGTGCTCACAAACATGTTTAACCCTGTCACATCCGTTATGTGCCTGTGCCAAGTCAGGAACCTATAGTTCAGTGGTTGTCGTTGGTTCATGTCTGTCATATTTGTACTTCGTTGTTATTCATAAGGCTTTTTGTTTTCTGGATTGAATTGTTTGATATTTTTCATGTCGCATTGTTGAAGGCCGTACGAATGGCTTTTAATTGCTTACATCCATTTCATTTGAACTTGGTAGATAGTTGTCTCATTGGCAATTATACTATATCTCCTTATTTTTATAAGAAAAGCCAATTCTTACAAAGATGAATTGGAAACAATGCTAACAGCTATTTAGCAGAACACAATGCTATCCGATTAAGTCGTATATTTAATTAAATGGATTTGTTAAATATCTAAAAATCCTTCAGGATAACTCTTTTTGCTCTCTTAAACGCACGTTTTAAGAAGATTGAAAGCGACATTCCATCAGTTAAGAGAGAGATAGGGTTGCCCCAGACCACTTGTAGAATATTCTGTTAGGTTTTTCTGTAAAAAAGAATGCTGATACATTTAGAAAAATTTAAGAGTAATCAAAGACAATTTTAACTTAATTATTATAGATACCCAATCGATAAGATTTAAACTAAAAGAGCGTTCCGAGAAGGATAAAGAGTACTCTTAGGGTTGCGAGTCCAACATGAATTTTAATGACTGTTAATCATTCTAAGATTACTTCAAGATATATCTCAGCATGTAATATGTTCTTAAGATAATCTTAAGCACTACGATGAATTCATGATACCGGCCCCGGCCGGGCCGGATACAAGAAATTCTATTAAAAGTGATCGTAAGTATTGAATTAAGGAGAAGATAAGATCATTCAAAGAGTGTATATCAAAGCTACCTCAGGTTGTTCGTAGATCGGTTTTATTTCCCCTTAATTTGCAGCGTAATAGTTTTCAATTTACTAGTTCTTAATCATTTTCCGGCGTCCCCGTGTTAGGTTCCTCGCAAAAAGATTAAAATCGCCTTAAATGAATCATACAAATATTTTAATGAACGATAAAACGTGTCAAGGCACTTTTAAAATCAACGAATGACCAAAATAATGTTTCTACTCGATAACAAATTAAGTTAAACAAGAGCATGATAAAAAATACTGTCTTAAACAGAGTAGACTTTACGAAATCCTCCCTGTTATAATCCCTATCTATATTACACCAATTAACCATGAATTATGTATTATACCTGAATTAAAAACTAAGTTAAACAATTTCATTTATTAAGCTGCACGTAAAAATGCAAGATTTTGATTAGCTAATACGAGGGAAGATAATTTATTTTATCTCATCACTCAAATTTTTGAAAACAACGATAATTTAAAGGACAATGAATTAAAAATGAATTTACATCGATTAATAAAAGACAATGCTCAAGTTCTACGTTTTGACTTCAGAACTTTTTCATAGACTGCCAAAATAAAATAAAAAACATTTTGCTTTACATCTAGTTGTAGTTTTTCTTATAACTGTAACGTGGTTATGTACGTTGCCATTGCTTAATTTTTTAACGGCTGATAAAATTTCCTCTTCCGAAATACCTCGATTAAGAATATTTATAATATCTTGATTATCATTTTTTTCTATAATAAGCTCGTAAAAATCTTGATTATCTGTATCTGCATCTTCATTTTTATTCTAGATTTAAAAAAATAATCGTAAAACTAATTCATACTATATTTTATCTTCTG